CTGCCCCATCGGGAGATACTATTGAAACCGTGACCTCTGGCTTCCAATTCCAGTGTTGACAATTACACCACTATGGCATCATCTCCCTTTTATTCACCAGTCACAAATTTAGACATTTAACGTTTATTGCTCTAATCATTTATACATTTGTGGCAAACGTTTAGCCGTTTTTTTACCGGAGTTTTTTATGAACACTGACAATGCAAAACAATGCTTTTAATAACCCTAGTTTATATGTACAGTGGCATGTAGAGTGGGTAGTTAGCATATGAACTGAGTCAAGAATCACCCACAAGCAGTTGCAAGTGGGTGGGTCTTGAGATTGGATTTTAATGTGGAGAGGCGATTAGCAGCGTGGGAGCAGGAGAGAAGAGAGTACACATGGAAGAGATTATCCTGCTGGGCCTCGAGAGAGGAGGCATTGGTTGCTGGAGCAGAGCAAGCATTATTATTATTTGACTTGTTTACCCAGGAAAGTCTTACTGAGTAGGGGGGGTGACGATTGCTTTGTTTCGCAGACAATGGCCTACCATTCTTTGAATGACATCATAGGATCTTTAACATCCACTGTGAAGCAGACAGCCAGTAGTATTTTTATTGTTCATACTTCCGCAGAGTATTAAGCAGGGTGCCCTGCCGAATTAGCACCGTGATCATCTGCAACAAGCAGCAAACGAAGTAGCGGATTCGCAATGCGGTGACCAGAGAAGAATGAGGGTGGGCAGTGGAGGTGGAGTGACAAATCCTGTGGACCTTGCTCCGATAGTGACCCTAACCTTGACAAAAAATACTATGCCAGACTCTTGGGCCTTCTCGGGACAGCGAATACTGGAGGATGTTGAGGTCGATGTGTGCACAAGGAAAATAAAGCTCTGCAAACTAGCTCTTGGCTTATAACTGGCCGATTGGCAGCACAGTGCAAGATATATATTTAGTGTAAAACTTGCTCCAGGGTCTGCTGTAGATAACATGAAGAATGATATCTCATTTGTAGCAATCTTGTCGTCTTCATTTCCATGGATAACAGAAAAGGCATCGAAATATGGGAAACATTACTGATGAGATCATCCCAGCTGATAATAGTGCTCATGGGCACACCAGTGAAACTGAGCATAACCGTGATTTTGCAAGAAAATATTTATTGTTATGCTCAAGTTCAGCATATAAAATACTCTAAATAGTGAAATGTAAAATACTTATAATAATAATTTAATTTTGATATCTTATCCCTCGAGATAAGACGGACGCTTGTGTTGCGACCGAAACGTCGTGTTTTCTTTTATTATTTTTTTTTATCTACGTGACTTTACCGAAAGAAGCAGAGGGTATAAAGAAATAAGTATGTTTTACATGATAGCAGCATTGGTTCAACACAAGCCAAGTCTGGGCTAGTTTCACATCCGGTGCCTCAACAGCAGTCAGACTTGTTTAAACCAATGCTGGTGAACTGCCAGATGTTTTATGTAAAGACTGGTTTGGACATTCAGTGCCTCATCAGCAGTCAGGCTCGCTTGAACCAATGGTGGTGAACTACCAGATGTTTTGTGTAAAGACTGGTTTGGACATTCAGTGCCTCATCAGCAGTCAGGCTCGCCTGAACCAATGCTGGTGAACTACCAGATGTTTTGGCCAAGGATCCTTTCTTTCTGTTAGGTATGGGTCCTCGTTGTACACATGTACATTGCTGCCATGAATTCGCACATGGAACTGTGTTTTGAGTTTACCCACGCATTTAAATATACACCGGTGCACTACATAATAATAATAGCCTTTCCTGTGCACTGTTGGATAGAAGATGCCCCGTTTCCAATGAGAGAAACTGCCATTTTCCACTGAAGGCAAATGTAAATTACACTTCAAAACACAAAACTTTATACTGTATTGTGAATGTCAGCTGTGTTACCGTTTTATAGTGCAATGCAGCAGAGGCAATCACTGCTCGCCAGATGCCACGTGTGACCACGACCACCGCGTGTTTAACCCATCCATGTTAAGGGACAATCACTAAGCCTGAAAAATACTTGCGTCATAATCACTGTGAGCCGAGGACTGCTTGAAAGCCAAGATTTAGAGCGTATGCCGGATTTGCCATGAAACCAATGGGGTCCGGAAATGTTCAGATGTACAACTCGTGAAGGAAAAGCACAAGCAGCACCACATGGCCAACCCCCATTGCCTGTCTGCGATAGCTGGAAAACAAGGGGTTAATTAAAGTGATGGGAGAATTTAAAATCGGGCTCCAAAAGAATAATCACATGCATTTTGGTGAATGATAAATAATTGACCACATTTTACCAACACATACAGTAGGATAGACCAACGCAAAGGTAAACACCCAAACAGCTGTGGTCTGCATAATGCATGTGTATTACAGTGCGAGTTCTAAACAGCATCCATTACTGTCACGACACCACATTACAATTAATCACATCAAGCCGCTCGCCTAAACTGCAACACGGCTAATGCGGCAATTTAAAATGCATTTCAATTTAAAACCTCTACCTACCCGTGTACACAACTTGTTACCCACATTGCTGAAAAAGTCATCGAGTATACGCATTTACAACAAGAGCTGTTATGCAGACTGCACGTTGGTAGCAATTAGGCAGATGGCAGTAACCCATCATCCTAGAAGGTCCATCATTCCTTCATAAAAACCGGAGCAACATGCATCATTTAAACACAAACACGCTGGGCAGCAAAACCAACAGACGGCGAGGGTTTGTGTGTAAGTGCTGCACATAGTTGTCCAAATAAATAATGCATCAAGCAAACACAATGAATGTGTACTTGTGCGCAAAGACTCCGGGTAGGCCCTTTAAAGGACAAGGGAATTGCTTCACCCGCTCTGGGTGATGTTACCTCTGCTCGGAAGCGTGCGTATCTCGTTAACAGTCGGGCTTATCGTTAACACAGGAGGGCTTGTGAGAATGGTCACATGGTTTGTGCAAACAAGTGCTGGGGGTTGGAGAACTCGAGCAATGCATGCTCACTGGGTGTCCATTATATGCCAATCTAAACATGTAAATGCTCCCCCCACCCACTCCTGAACTGGGCAACTCCCAGTTTTAGTCCCAACAACAACAACTCCGTGAACAGCTCAATACTCTCATTCAGACGCAGAGCTGCTTCAGCATGAAACCATCTACCAGACTCACCAACATGGAGACGATGGCAACAGTCTCATCTCATTTCAATCTCTAATTCAAACTCACTCGCACAACTCTTATAACACAACTCGAGTGCATCATTCGACCGGCGGTGTGCTCCATCAAATTACGTATCTGTACATATTTATGTATTTCACTTGATGAGAGATTCGTTCTAGAAATGCAAACGGTATAAGTTATACTGTTGATTGAAAATGTTTGTGTATATGTGGCTTCATGTGTGCTATGTGTGTGTCACTCGACACCTTGGACAGTCATGTAAACGAGATGATATGCCTCAAGGGAATTTCCAGATTAAATATTGTAACGAATAAACTACTGTGTCGTTATGAGCACCCAGGGCAGTTTCTCTGAAATGCAATCAACAATGTCCAAACACCACGATCAGCAGCCTCCCTCAGGCTTCCACTCCACACAAAAAACACCGAGGCTTTGGCATGATCCCGCAGTTATTGCGGCCAATGTGATGACAGAAAAACATCTGACAGCGGCAGAAAAGCCAAATGAAAATGTGCCACCGTAGAGGGCCTGCAGATTGCGTGACAAGGCCGCTGTCTGCCACACGAACCCAGCAGCGGCGCGCGCCGTGAGGAGACCGAACAGCCCGAGACCTGCGAGCCACCACCACCACCAGCACCACCACCACCAGCAGCACCACCACCACCACCAAGCACCACCACCACCAGCACCACAACCACCACCAGCAGCACCACCAGCACCACCACCACCACCAGCAGCACCACCACCACCACCAGCACCACCACCACCACCAGCACCACAACCACCACCAGCACCACAACCACCACCAGCAGCACCACCACCACCAGCAGCACCACCACCACCAGCACCACAACCACCACCACCACCAGCACCACCACCAGCACCACCACCAGCACCACCACCACCACCAGCACCACCACCACGGCGGCATCTCAGCGAAACCACCCCCTTTGTGAGCGCCACACCCGGTTTCTATTGTGGAACCAGGTCCCCATAAAAAATGAGCACACATTGCCAAATGGAGTTACCGGTGCCAAATTACACCAAAAGCCAAACGCGTGTTATTGCCAAACGTCAGATAACACCCAACTCACACTGCATGCCGCGCTTTCAATCAGGTAGGGTTAGGGTATACCGTTACCGATATTCAATACTCTAGGCCACTCTCAACATCAACCAGATTGGATTTTGCCTAAGCTGTCACCGTGTGTGCCTCGCAGAAAGCAGCATTGGCGAGGTGACAATGGCCTGCCCCGCGCCATCATTTGCCGCACACTCGCCCCCACACCTGTGGCTGCTTTGCCAGCATCCCGAGCCGCACCAGCTCCTGCGCCGACACGGCCCCGTGGTGATCCACACACACACATCCCCAAAAAACGGCTGCTCTGCCACCCATGCTACGTGTGCAGGAGCGGTGAAGGCGGCATGCGTGGGGGGGGGGGGGCACGGTCCCAGCAGCCTCGCGTCGTGCTCTCATCACGTCTGTCTCGCCACCACCCCCTCCCTGCTATCCGCTCGTGTGCACCCTCCTCCTCCTCCCATCTCTTCTCTCAGCTTCATCTCCCAGGTCTCCTGTGATTTCCCATTTCCCGCAGCTCCATCCCACGTCTATCTCAGCTCTTCTGCCCGAGCGTCCCACCTTCCCTGGCGAGGGGGCCCTGTCGTCCAACTCTCCTGGTATCACGCCTGTCCCCCGCCTCCCGTGTCTCCCCCGTGTCTCACCTTCCCTGGCGAGGGGGCCCCTGGTATCACGCCTGTCTCCCGTGTCTCACCTTCCCCGGCCATGGGGCCATGAGGCCCCTGGTATCACGCCTGCCCCCCGTGTCTCACCTTCCCTGGCGAGGGGGCCCCTGTCGCACATCTGTCCCCTGTCTCCGCCGCCGCCGCCTCCGTCCCGCACTTCCCGGCGCGACACCGAGGCCGAGGAGGCCGCACCCCGCAGCCGCGCTCCGTCCCCGAGGTCCCCCCCGGGCAGCGCCTGTAGCCCCGAGTACTGCGCGGACATGGCGGGGCCCGCGCATGGGGACGGGACGGGGACCGAGGCCGAGGGGTCCGAGACGGAGTCCGGGGCGGGCGGGCGGTCTCGACCACGACTCCGGGGAACGAGCGAACAGCGAGCAGCGGAGTCGCCGTGGGAAACCCGCAGGGAGACGTCCCAAGTCCACGACACGGGCCGATAAGCAGGCAGCGATCAGAAGCAGGACCGCGTCTTGGGCAAGACACCTACGACCAAGTCCCGGGCCCAGGGCCCAGGGCCTCCGAGTCCGGGGTCCGAGATCTCAGACGTGAGAGTCAATGATGACCACGTTGAATCCTGGGGTCCGTGGCGAGGGGACGAGGGGGGGGGGGGCGGGGACCAGGTCCGGGGTCCGTGATGCGGGACCAGGTCTCGGGATCCGGAGCGAAAGTCCCGGGTCCTGGTCTTGGGCTCCGTAGCAAGGGGACCGAGTCGAGGTCGGCGGGGTCCGTGACGCGGGACCAAGTCCGTGTTGTCCCCGCGCCGCTGTCCCCGCATCTCGGGGCTGTGGGCGAAACCATCTCGTGGGCGGGCGGAGGGGGGGAGGGGTGCGCAGACAGCGGGGCGCGTCGCCCCGGCGACCGGCGAGACCATCTCGCCGACACGCGCGGGGGTGGAACCTGCGCCGTGGTGGGAGCGTCCATCGTGTCTGTTGGCGCCGTGCAGCCCCCCCGTGCGCACTGTGCGCGCGGGGGGAATGGCACTTTCCTTGCGCCATTGTGTGGCGGCTGAATGGTTTGTAATTGATAGGTAGCGATGGGGTTCAAGAAACACGCCGTTCCCGTTACTCACCAACCTCTCAGTGTTACGAAACCCTCACCACTTCACTATTCCCAGCCCCTCACCAGCCCTCCCACTCTGTCACCACACCCTCACTAACTCACCAAGCTGTTATGTTATAACCCTGCTCAATACAGCAAGACACCATTATATACAGTATTACAACTTCGATCGTGCTGTTTATTGCTGGCCGCTTTATAGTTTGGGCCTGGTCTCAGCAGCTGTGAGGAGAAGCGAATTCGGCCGGGACACTAGCGGGGGGGGGGGCGATGGCGGATGGCCGAGACCGGTTGTGGAATGGCAGCAAAAGGAGGGAACGCGCCCACGAGTTGGAGACTGCAGCGAGACGGATCGTTACATCAAAGGATGGCGATGGCGAGACCCTCAGCCAGCAGTGGATAACACGTGGCTGGCGGTCACATTACAGCATAATTCAACGTATCCAGTTATATCTGGAGATTTTCCAGCCAAGCACGCTTCTGTGGAACGCCTATCTGTGCACTTGAAGGAGATGGTTGTGGCTATTTTGGTTAACGAAGTTGATACACTTTTATTTTAAGACCCAGAACTTGCTACAAGTGCATACGATGTGGCTGTAAACTCACGGAACAGCCCACTACATGCGATCATGCACCTGGCATTGCTCTTCAGTGATCACGTTACCTGTGTACTTACAACTGGGCCACATTTCGGGTATCCGTGTCTCCCCTTATCTCTGACACTGATGAGACAAATAACTGGCCGCTGGATTAAAGCCGTGAGCCTTGGCAACCAGTGGCGAAGCCCCCCACATAGCGGCGTCCACCGAGGGTGCGAGGTTGTGTAACCTGACACGAGAGGTGAAGATTTCCTAAACCACCGCACATCTATTTACCCAATAACATAATAAACAGACTACATGCATATCCTTTCAATAGTTGTCCATATTAAATAATTACGTAATTGTTGTACACCCCGTTGTGCCACATGACCTCTGGCAAGTGACTGTTTCATCAGCATTGCTTCTAGATGTGAAGCTTCAGCATTGCTTCAGCATTGCTTCTAGATTTGAAGCTTCAGCATTGCTGCAAGCAAGCCTTGCTGCTGACGAGACACCGAATATCGAAACCCATCCAGAATTTGCTTGTGTTCAACCAATGCTGAGGGGGGGGGTCACTCCCAGAAGGCCGTATTGCCAATGGGATGTGTACAATGATTTATATTTTACGTGGACAGACAGACATGACAAGGAGGGTTATTGTCTGCTTATTTATTTTGTTCATAAACATGTTGGCAGAATACTGTAAATGAAGTCGACTGCACCATACAATGCACCATTCTGAGTGTGTTTGAAGGGCACAGAGGCTTGATTTGCATTGACGTGTAGAGTTAATTTGTCCAGCACAGGATGACAGCACTGTTGTCAACTACAATGTGAGAGAGCGCTTTGAAAGGCATCACTGTTTATGCCTAATATCTGATATTGACTGTGCTGACATACTGACTCATGGTCTGAGCTCTGGACGGTTCAATCCGAACTTCAATGTGCCACCGTGGTTGTCTGTGTACGAGTCTAAGCGAGATCCACTGCTGATCAATGCCCCACACTGCTCTCGCATTTATTATTTACATTTGTTTACCCACAGAGAGCCTCACTGAGTCTCAAGAATCTTTTTTCAGGAGGGTCATGCTAAGTTTTTGCAGTAAAGGACAATGATTGCTACGTTTTTCCCAATCAAGTACATTTACATTTTTTAAGTTTGGCACGGACTGTGACACTGGCACACAACGTCACGGGATCGGTAATGTCCACTGTGCCCTGTGGCACCTCGTGTTGCATGGCTATTACACATTGTTGTATTAACCAGAGCCGCCTGGCGCCGTCGAACCGCGAATCTATCCAACAAATAACGAATACGCTCTCGCTGTGTCGATGAGCACGATTGGCTATGTACGATGCGTAAGAAGTTCAACATACATACAGTACATACATGTCAGGTCACAACAAATGCATTTTTGCTTTTCCCTCACCCGGCTAGACTTGTAATTCTTTCCCATCGTCTCTTTTCCCCAAGATAATAACGTTGCTCAATTAAAACAAAATCGTAACTCTGCCCTTTTACAATTTTGATTGTGCCGTTTGTCACTGACCGCTTGCCACTTTGGACCTTTGAGCCTGTGCTTAGCAAATGTGTAAAAAAACATCCGTGAATCAGGAGCTGGCAGGCAAAGAGGAATAGGCATTGCCACCAGTACTGACGGGAGGGCTCGCGATGGGGCTTGCGATCATTCCGCTGTTCATCACAGTGAGAAGCAGATCGGGTGAGCAACGTATTCATGGCAATTTCTTAGCTTCTCATGGTTTCGCATGTGCTATTATATTTTTGTTTTTTAATGTTTAGAAACACCACGCAGCAAGCTGATTACATTGCACTATGTTATGAGATATGAAGCTTGCATGGCAGTCCTGCTTTCAAATAGCTGGAAATATACCATACATATTGCAATGTAGCATGCCGATATTCTATGCGGTTTATTATTGTGAATTAAACATATGCATATTTTATGTCCCATGTAAACAATCACAAAATAGACACTGAAAAATATAAAACAACACATCTTTCACATGCCCTTTTCAGGCTTTAGCAATGAAATGAAATACTGGATGCTGCTGAGCAATATGAAACAGTTGCTTTGCATGATAATCAAAATGAATTTGTCTTATTCTGTACTGTGTAATATTATTTGTGAGCGTTTTCACACGAGGATTTGTGTATGTGTGTGTGTACGTGCATACATGTCAGTCGATGCAACACAAGGCAGATTGGATGTATTAAGCATCTAAATGCAATCACATTCGCCTCTGTCTCATATCTGTCTCTTCACGTGAACGCTCGGCAGTTTATTTAGACATCACATCAGCCACAGGGGCTACTGGAAGTGCATCGTCTCAGCACCATGAGTTCTGCACAAGCAAGCTCTGGGCCCGTTTTGACCTTCAGTGTCTCATCAGCAGCTTGAACCAGCATGCTTGAACCAATGCTGGTGAACGGCCGGATAGATGTAGCGACACGCAAATATGTGCATTGCAATGTTTTCTGTTGTGATAGGGCCTCTCGTTACTTACAACTTTTAAGAGCTGTCTCGGTCAGGGGTCCGCAACCTGCGGCTCCAGAGCCGCATGTGGCTCTTTGGCTGCACTCTTGCGGGCAGCCGTCTTTAAACAAACGTAAACACAATTTAACGTAAAGATAATTGATCAAATATGGCAGGGAGTGGGTCACTATGGAATGTCTTTGTTGACAACCAAATGTATAGTCAATAGGTATTGTTAAAGAATAGCGAAGGTGGAAACAAAACTAAATAGACGCCGTTTATTCCATCCCCTATTTTGTTTATTTTAGTCATAATTTGTTTGTCACTTGCTGTATACCTGCTGCTGTGTTTGTGCATGTGGACAAGTAGCTCTGCGTGTGATGCGGCTCTCGAACTATTTTGGTCAAAGACAAAAACAAAAACATGGCTCTTCTTCTTTAAAAGGTTGCAGACCCCTCCTGGTCTAGCCAATGGTCCTCTTTATATGATAAGGGGCCTAGTTCAATGCAAAACTAAATCATACATAATGATGATTTTGTGTTATGAATACATCACATGACACTATAGCTGTCTTCCCAGAGAGTTAGAAATAGCAGGACTGGTTGGGCCCAGATATCTCAGCAAACTCCTGTTGGGAACAATTCTGTTTGAAGTGTCACTAAACTGTCTCCCAGCTAAATCACATCTGATGCTGTCGTTTATTTCTAATAACTTCACATGCAATTTCATTTGACTAGTATATCATCGTCTGCTTAGATATCTGTACTATCGTCACCATGAATCTGTTGTATATTTCTGTAACTGAATTTTTGTAATCATACTATGATCCGTCGGAAGACAATCATCGCGAGCCAGCTGGCACTGCAGGGAATTAAATATTTAATTCTGATGTAACATTGAGTTATGTTCATGCAATATTTCTATTTATCATGTGACAGTTTTTGTTCAGATTTATACTGTATTCGCTTCATCGCTGTACTCTAATTAATCATGTTGCTTCTGTCATGTTGTAAATGAGGCTCTCTCCTGGTCTCTAGAGTTCTCCCCACGTGGTTCACCAACATAAACTTGAACAATCGGCAAAAGGGGCTAATCCTATTGATCGTGTTGTCTACTCCTGGCGTTGTGCCGACGGTCACAAATACGCCAACTGTAAGCCTATTTTAGTAGCTGTAACTTATTTACATGCGCCAGCGATCAAGGGAAAAAGGTGGTGATCAAAGGAAATTATTTATTACGGCAGGCTGCGGTATACTGTGTATATACATCATGACACGTATAGTAACACATATCCACTTAAACATACACACAGCAGCAGCAGCAACAACAACAACCGCCACTAAGTGGCGGTAAAGTCGCCACGGTTCTCGTGTCAGGCTAGGTGCACTTTGAGGCAATCACGTGACGTGTGGAAGGCTCGCTGCTGGCAGGAAGTCAAGGCACAGACTCGGGTGTAATAATGAGTTGACGATGATATCTGAGATGACTGGCAGATGCAACAACTGTGCTCTCTACTGCGCCGCCCGGCGCCCCTCCTACTCCTCCTCCGCTGTTGCCGTGAGGGCGACTGCGTCCACCACGAACCTGCACGGACTTCACACAGCACACACACAGCACACACACAGCACACACACAGCACACAG